AGGGTTTAGGGTTTAGGGTTTCTCACAGCCAATCAACTCTGCCAAATAGTATTCTCCGTAAACCCTCGACTGCAAAAGGGTTTGCAGCCAGGGCTAGGGTTTAGGGTTTAGGGTTTAGGGTTTAGGGTTTAGGGTTTCTCACAGCCAATCAACTCTGCCAAATAGTATTCTCCGTAAACCCTCGACTGCAAAAGGGTTTGGGAATCAAAAAGAGCGACTAAGTCATCATGATCTTCTACTGCAGCAATTCGGGTTTTTAGCTGCGGCAGCAGCTGCTGCCGCCCGCAGCAGCAGACCCGCAGCAGGCCTGCTGCTGCTGCTGCTGCTGCTTCTGCTGCTGGCGTCGCTGCTGCTGCTGCTCCTCCCGCTGCTGCTGCCGCTGCTGCTGCTGCTGCTGCTGCTGCAGGTGAGGTCGAAGACAGGAGCAGCGCTGACGAGGCCTCTGCAGCAGTTGCTGCTGAATCTGCTGCTTCTAATGTTGCTGCTGCTGCTGCTGCTGCTGTTGCTGCTGCTGCAGTTGGGGTTAGAGCAGGCAGCAGCCCAGGCAGCTGCTGCGACCAGCTGCTGCTATCATCATTCCTGAAATAAAGCAGAAGCAGAAAGCTGCTGCTGCACTTGCTGCTGCACTTGCTGCTGCACTTGCTGCTGCACTTGCTGCTGCACTTGCTGCTGCACTTGCTGCTGCTCACGTTGCTGCCACTGTTTCTGCTGCTGTTGCTGCTGCTGCCACTCTTGCTGTCGTCGCTGTTTCTGCTGCTGTTGTCGCAATATATCCAGTCACAGCTAATCCTACTCCTGCTGCTGCTGCTGCTGCTGTTTGTGCTGCTCACGCTGCTGCTGCTGCTGCTGCTGCTACTGCTTTTGCTGCTGCTGCTGCTGCTGCTGCTACTGCTTCTGCTGCTGCTGCTGCTGCTTACCTTTCGAGTGCAAGAATCCACTGCAGCTCGTAGTGAGTTGCGAAGACACTTCTGAACATGGTCATTGCTATCTTTGCTGCTGAAGGGAATTCTGCTGCTGCTGCTGCTGCTGCTGCTGACGATGTTGCTGCTGCTGCTGCTGTTGTTGCAGGCGATCTTCTGCAAGCGAAGGCCTGCAGCCACAGTGTGTTTGTGGGCGTGATGAGGCTGCCATCGCCGAGCTGCGTCACGCTGCTGCTGCTGCTGCTGCTGCTGCTGCTGCTGCTGCTGTTGCTGCTGCTGCCGCTGCTGCTGCTGCTGCTGTTATCCTTTGAACTTTCCCTAGATAAGGAGACTGTGGAGGCATCTTCATGGTCAGTCTCCCCGTCTGATTCGTTGTGCGTCTCCTCGCTGCTGCAGTTCTTGTTTTTCCCAGCAGCAGCAGCAGCAGCAGCAGCAGCAGCAGCAGCAGCAGCAGCAGCAGCACGGTGGTGGTGCTTGCTGTGCCCGTAAGTGGCCCGCAGCCACTGGGGCCACTGCGCAAAGTAGGCCCTGCATTTGCTGCTGCAGATGCGCTGGAAGTCTGCGTCTGCTGCTAGAGACGCAGCAGCAGCAGCAGCAGCGTCAGCAGCAGCAGCGTCAGCAGCAGCAGCAACTGTAGCAGCAGCAGCAGCAGCAGCAGTAAAGGAAAACGGAACGCACAAAAGGGGAGAATGATCCAGACACAAAAACCCCACAAGCAAACCCTCTGTGTCTTCGCACAGCAGCGAGAGATAAGAAGCGCGCAGCAAGTCTTCCACTGCAGCAGACCTGCTGCTGCTGCTGCTGCTGCTGTTGCTGCTGCTGCTGCTGCTGCTGCTGCTGCTGCTGCTAATACTGTTGCTGCCGCTGGCGCTGGCGCTGATTAGCGCGGCGGCGGAATCGCGGCTCGCGCTGCTGCCTTCTTCGTTACTGCTGCTGCAGCTGTCAGCTGTGCTGCTGCTGCTGCCGCTGCTGCTGCCGCTGCTGCTG